CACTGGTGACCAGAAATCTCAGTTTTTCAACTGTGCAGGTTATTCATGCAAAATAACTAGTATGTCTCATTTTGCACATGCACGTTGGGGCAAAAGAGATCTACAACCAGTTTCTGTTTCACTCCAGTTCTCACTGGGTTTGCCAGCGGGCAATGATTTAGGCCTTGGGCTTTGCCTCCGTGGCTGCCAGTGCTTGTATCAGTCACTGTGTCTGTCATGGTGGCTTTTGTGTTGTGGAGGCCCATGTTCTCTGGATGCTCCTGGAATGACCTGGTTGATCTGTTGGTATTGGCAGGATCCTCCTTTTCATCTGCCAGGCCCCAGTTTTCTAAATTGGCTCCTTAGCTCTTCATGCTTAGCTTGATGCTCTAAGCTTTCAGCTGAGTTGTCTGCAGCTGAGATCTGTGGGTGCAGCAGATACTCGGATCCTGTGAAGTTTTACATCTTGGTGTTTGAAACGAGATAGTCAGACACTGAGCTGGTGGGTGAGTTTGAAAAGCCTGGTCATGGTAAGTAAGTGTAAACTGAGGCAATAGTTACTGCACTGGTTCCGGGAACCTTTCTCTCTGGTTTGGTGCTATCTCCAAGCTTCACTGTGGAAACTTCTCACATTTAGCTTTCTAATTCTTAATAGGATAATAAAATACGTCTGTAGAAGCTGTTCCTACAGATGCCTGTCATTAAATAAATACTTGAAGCAAACATAAAATCCACAACACAAAATGATTTCTAAGGATGTGATTTTAAAAGGGCTCTGTGTTTGATCTAATCTGTTCCAAACACCAACAACTCAGGTTTGAGTTTGGCAGATGCAAAGTACTTTTAAAATATCCCACAGGGGACACTGATCAAAGGTTTCAAACTATGCTCTGTGGGCCTTCTGCATGCACTCTGTGAGCGTGTACTCCTGTGGCATTACTGCAGGCTCTGTCAGTATCTCAGCGTGGTTATTCGTTCATGTTGCATGCAGTGTTGTCACGTGAGATTGTGTCATTTGACCCTCCCCTTAGTGCCTGTACAAGTGCTGTGATTTATCAGATCATAGCAAAATACCATTAGCTACAGATCCATATAGGTTGGCTTAAAGAGCAAACCCATTCATCAAACTGACACAAGCTGCTCTATTGCAGCAAGGTTTCTACAGCCAATACGGTTTGAAGCGATCAGCAAGAAGTGAGCCTGTTGCTTTCATGGCAAAGCCTCGCTCCCTGTAAGTGATCAGTCTGATCTCAGAGCCTGCTCAGCATGTGCAGTGGCATCGGAGGCCAGCCCTGGTTTGGTAGCTCAGGAGCTGAGCGTGCAGCGTGCTGAGCACTCCTGAGAAGACTGCAGGCTTTGTGTTCAGCAGCTTGATAGATCAGACTTACAGGCCGTAAATATTTATGGACAGTTGCAAGCTGGGGTTAGGAAAACATTTCTTAATTACATGAAATATAAAATAGGAGAAAGACTCAAAAACTTGGAATCGATTACCTGGCAGTGAGAAATCACCTCTGGAGAAAGAGAGGAGTAATAAGAAGGTGGGAGATGATGCAGCACTCTAATTTGGCATCACCCATAGATGCTGTACGGCTGTTACCCTGAAATGTCTCTGAGACTTCTCTGCTGACCTTGCTAGTCCCTATGTGAAACTGCTTCCTTACTCAGACGTGAGCAACCCTGTGTTTCTGTGCTGCCTTGCAGCTCACAGGGGTGCTGAGTTCACTCACGCAGGCCGGGAGAGAGCAGCACTCCCCAGCTCTCAGGTCCTGCCATCACATGCCACGGCTGTTGCTTGCCCATCGTCCTGCCTTGCACACTGAGCAGGTCAGGGATGGCAGGAGGGTTTGACTTGGTCGAGCTCACAGGGAGCACCAGAACAGGACCCAGATTTCCTGTCTCTCACCCTCAGGCTCAATCTGGTCCTGCTCAGCAGCTGCTGTATTTCTCCTACCTCGTGCTTGGTTAGAAATAGGAGTAGATGAGTTTCCTCCTCAGGGTGTTAATACACTGCAGCCTCTTCACAGGTTTCCTCTTGCTGTTTCAGGCAAATATACATCCTTGCCACTGAGTACTTCTGAAACACCATGAGGAGGTCTGATCAAAGCTGGATCTAATCCTGTCTCCTGCACTGACAGTGCTTGGCAGTGAGGGCTAGAGGACGAGGCTAAAGCCCCAGATACTGAAGAAGTCCCTAGAATTTCCAAGAGCTGCTGAACCTGACCTGTTAGTGAGGTGATCTCAGTCACCAGCTGCTCTCCTGCAGACCAGGCCAGGCCAGGTATCTAGTATGAGACATGGCACCGTGCCACGTGAATCCGTTTGGGAGGCAGAGGTCAGCCCCCTCATTTCTCTCTAGGTTTACACAGACAACTGTCCTCACACCAGTTGCATGGGTGTGGACGTGTATCCACAGATGAATGCAGTTTTGAGCAGTGTCTCCCAGGATAAATCAAAAACTACCTACTTAGCCAGGTTTTTTTTGGGGGGGGAGGCTAGGAGTTGCAGTAGGTTTTCCTGACAGAATTGCTGTATTACTCGTCCACATGCTAGAGAAGAAGTTCAGTGAGCTGCCATCAGTACCAAAAGCTCCTTGTCATTCTGGTTCTGAGAAGTCACGCAGTTGAGGATTTATTTTTTTAATTTGAAAAAAGCTCCTGAACAGCTAATTCCTCTGGATAAGCACTGATTATCTTACACCACAGCACAGAGGATGTTCTGGAAGAGCCTGTGTGATGGCAGGGCATCAGGGAAGCACATATGCCTTTGCTTTACAGCCTCTTCTCAAAGCTGCCTCCCTTCTCTCTTATCACTTTCCAGATTCCCTTGCACTGCACCTTCTGCTCTGTCTTATCAATAAAGAGCTGTCATCACACGTTGCTGTTAAAGCAAAAGAGCAAACTGTTGTCAGCTGATAGGCACACAGCAACCCATTTAGCTAATGTGACTTTCTCAGTCAGTCCTTGACAGCCCATCCTTAGAGAAAGTTGCAGGAATCTGTTATGAAATGCTTGATAAATAGGAATATATATGTAAACTATAAATTAATAAAGCACTATAAAAAAGAATTCTGTAACTGTCACTGCATCTCTGTTCTACGGGAGAGAGGGAGTGGTAAGTGTTTTGTTTGTTAATGAGAATAGATTATTTTTATTTAACAAACTATAGTTGGTGATTAGATGCAGTGATTACACTGTCTTACATGGAATTTTCCTGTAAGTGGTTGCTCAAAATAACAGACAGCTGCAAGAAACTTTGTACTGGTGAAACCATCCAGTTCCCACAGAGCTTCTTTCTCTGTCATCTGTGCAGTTGGATTTTTTTTTTTTTTTATCCAGCTGACTGAGCTGAATTTTTTGTTTTAATGCAGTTTATAAGGAACGTGCTCTTTGTCCCACTTGAACACATTTCAATAGCTACCTTGCACATTGAATTCCTGGCCATGAATCAACATAGTAGCCATCTAATTATACTTTTTGCCTTTCACTGTTTAGGAAAAATATTAAAACATCAGTCACTGAGAATTACCTCCTTAAAAAATTTCTATTCCTGTCTTTGATTGACACATTCACCTTGAGCTAAATGTGTTTGACTGTAGCCAGATCAATCCATTCATGGGGCAGTGTACTGCCCCTAGGACTGTTCCCTGTTCATCCAATCAGGGAAAATTAAGATGGTGTTTGTGTATATATATACATTTTTAAGCAGCTACAAATACTGATGTTATCTAAGCATTTAGTCTGCTGTGATGGAGGTCACTGAGACTTTAGCTACTGCTTGCTGTAACAGCAGGATCAAATCTTAGTCTTAATCCTACAAGCATTTTATACACCGGTTGTTTTTTTTTCAGGAAAAAATTTCCCTTGAGCATGGTCTGCAGGCATTAACTCCTATGAAGACTTTTCTTTATTTGCAATAAAGATCTGTGGCTTATTATGTTCTGAAATGACATAATTCACATACAACATGTACGTGCATGCACATGCATGTATGTATATAGTACCTGATGGATGCATAATAGAACAGTCTATTTTTCTAATAGATATTGTAGATCGTACTGTATTTGCATTTTATTTAAACATAAGAATACTGAAAACCTTCTCATCACATTTCAGGAGATGATATTTGGTCCTTTACGCCAACAAGGCTATCCTGTACATTCTGGTAGTAACTAAAAGAAAAGCATAGCACTCATTTACAAAAAGAAATATTAAAGTGCATAAGTACATAGACAAGTGCAGCTTCTGCTGTGAGCTTCTTTGAAGCAGACGTACTCTGTCTGGTAGCTGGTTCAAACAGCAACAGTTCTAGTGCACTAGAATTCACCAATTCTGCTGGCAACCCTTGGCCTTCCCCTATGTACACGGCTTAATCCCACAGTCCTCCATGTACAACGTGCCTCTTAACACTGCCCGTGTTGTACAACTGTGTGAGCCTGCAGAACTGGGCCCAAATCAATCAAGGTACCTTTGGAAGCAAAAATTTTCTTGACTGTCAAATAATAAATACATTCAAAGCAAAATACATCTGTTTCACATGCACCTATTTTCAGAGCTTATGTTAAAAATGGACTTTGAGAAAACTTTCAAACGAAGAAACCAGAAGACAGAGAATCCAGGTTGTAGGGCAGTATGATGTCAGCACAGTGTGGTGAGCTGCTAAGCAGGTTCCCTGGGTGCATTGCTTGTTCTAACGTGCAATAACAGTTATCTAGGTTTGTTCTTAATATATTTTCCTTTGTATAGCTGTGTATATATAGAGAGATAAAGCTTGCGTGGGATGAAGATTCTTCAGAAATGGTTATTTCGTCTAGTTCAGGGCTTTGTCAGATTAGCTGCAGCTCATTTCAATCCTTTGAGCTTGAATTTATTTACAATATTTTGTGCTTTTGAACTTTTCCTTGTCAAATAATGTCCAAGAGAATTCCCCTACAGCCATGATCTTTTGGAAAACATGGTCATTTTGAGCTGAGTAACAAAAGAGTTCTGTTTCCTAATACAATTTAATCCATTTGTGAATACTTTTTATTACGGCTCTAGGTTAAAAGCTCTTAACAGGATGTCTAGGTCACCCACATTGGCAGCTTGAAATAGTTCTGGCTGGTCCATCATAGACAGGGCAATTCGAAGTGCTGCCCAAATATTGCCTGATAGAGCAGGATGGGGAACCTGTTGTTGATTCCTGCTCTTCCTCTGCAAACTGAGAGCAGTGAGAAAATTGCTGACAGCTTCTCTGTAAGGGAGAAGGAAAAAGAAACAAACGATGTAATTTGCTGAGCAACTAGAGTAAAACTCTAGAAAGTTCTACGCTAGACTCAGGTGTGTTATTTTACAATGTAGTTCATCGGTCTCTTTGTGTTGGCCTTGCTTGGTTTTCTTTAAACAAGTGGCCGTGGCCTGTAGTGCTGCAGAGCACAGTCTATTCATACAGTATTCTGGGGACACTGTCTTCATTGCTGGGCAGCCCCCCTTCATCTTAACTGTCTTAGATGGGTGGGACCCTGGAATATCACCCTTGATTCCTGGAGGAGGTGCCAAAAGTGATTTTGATTACATTAGCTACTTGAAGCAGTTTACCTGAAGTTTCCCCTTCTGAAGACGAGGTCTTATATTTTTCTTTAAGAAAAGCTCTCAAGCATAGGATGAAGTTTAAGTGGGAGAACAATCCCACTGATTATAGTAACAGCACTTGCACTTAGAGCTGAAAAAATGCTTAAGCAACTCACTGGATGAGGCATTTAGTTTCTCTTGATAGACATTCCATAGGCCTGTTGTGTGGAATTTGTGAAGTAAGAGAAGTGTCATTCTTTGTTATCACTTTGTAAAAAATAATTACAAAATTTGATAGTAGCTAAGATTAGCTATATTCTGACTTTATTTTTTTTTTCTTAGCTAGCTCTAGCTAGGAAAAGAATTTTCATTTGGTCCTTATGATCTCTGACTTTTTTGTTTACACATTTTTGTAACTCACCTGTATGCCCCGAGGTTGATGCAGCTTATTCCTAAATTGTATCTGGACCTAATGAAGCCAGGCTGTATTTCTAAAGCACGTGTGTAGGCCTCCACTGCTTCTTCACTTCGATCCCCATTTGCCAAGGTTGCTCCCAGACGGTTCCATAACGTATAGTCCTGGTGAAAAATTGCGTTTTCTGATGTCGGTGTCAAAAAGGGACATAATAGCTCATTTTTTGCTTGTAAAGTAAGGAGGACTGTGGAAAATAACAGTGTCATATCTTCTCTTAATTGGCATGGAATGTGAAATTCTGACTCGTGACTATAGGCATCTTTATATAACTACTACAATTAATCAGCACACAGCTAGAAATTGGACATGTATAAATCTGTTTCCAAATGGGACTGTCTTGTAATTAACATTTCTATTTCAGGTATTAAAATTTTAATGGCTGAAGTGACATCTCATTAATATTATCCTGATCAAAAGGGGAGAAAGAAAATAGCCTGTATAGCTAAATTCTTAAAAATGTAAAAGCATAAAATGTACCTCTGGCCGGACAGTTAACGCTGCACTAAATGCATCTATTGCTCTGTTGAATTCTCCATTCAGGTGAAAAAGAACTCCAAGTCCTGTCTGCAAGTCAGGGTCTATCATATTGCCGTTCTGGTGAGCAGCCTCCAGGTAAAAATCCTTTACTTCTTCAAGTAATGAGCTAGACAAGGATGAAAAATGACTTAAAGTCCCCTCTTACAGTTCTTTACAGATATTACAATATAGATTACATAACCAGAAGTTAAAATCCTTGTAGTGGATGTATTAGAAGTGATATACTCCTAAAATCTGAAAATAAGCTCCTTCAACTTCATCATGGCAAAGATTTACTTCCAGCTGCTGTTGGAAACTCGTGTCTGGAGTTAAAAAGTTCACCTGTATGATGATATTTCCCTATATAATGATGAGAATGAGTTCTGTAAGGGGCTGCTGAGCGAACTAGGGTTGTTCAGACTGGAGAAAAGGAGGCTCAGGGGAGGCCTTCTCACCCTCTACAACTACCTGAAAGGAGGTTGTACCAAGGTGGGGTTTGGTATCTTCTGCCATGTAACAAGTGATAGGATAAGAGGAAATGACCTCAAGTTGCACCAGAGAAGAGGTTTAGGTTGGATAGTAGGAAAAATTTCTTCCCTGAAAGTTTTGTCAAGCCCTGGCACAGGCTGCTCAGGGAAGCAGTGGAGTCACCATCCCTGGAGGGGTTTAAAAGACGTGTTGATGCCAGGGGACATGGCCCATAGTGGTGACCTGGCTGTGCTGGGTTAACAGTTGGACTTGATAATCTTAAAGGTCTCTTCCAGCCAAAACGATTCCATGGTTCTATGAAGTCAAACTGCAGCTAAGAACCCAAGTGAGATGACACAAAGGCTTATTAAAACTACTAAAATCACATGAGTTTATTGGATGTAAAACTGTTTTTTACTGGCAAAAATACTAGTCATTCTTAAGAGGAACAGATCAAGTAACTAGCCAAGACCCCTGAAGAAAGACACCTAAATTCAAGACTTGTGTACTTATTACAGGCTTCATAAAACCTTTGCCCTGCCACCACCAGATGTCAGTGGGACACGGACGAAGTGGAATAACACACCTATCAGTTAAGCAGGACTTGCATATTTTAATTTTGCTTATACAAAATGAGCTTGTCACTCCAGGGTTTTTTAACGATACGGGTGAAACCTAAGGCCTGCCTTCAAAATGACAAGCAGTGAGATAGCCTGAGCATTTTAGTTCTATAAATCATGTTTATGCCTTTAATGACTTTATTCTGCATCTCACAATTCAGAGATACTTATCAACTTCACAAAGCCATGACAAAGGGCTGCCAACTCATGAGTTTCTTTGTTATTTAAAATGGCTGCCAGCTCCCATTACAGTATGTTAAGCTGAAGTCAGATACAATGACTACAGCGTCTCTCTGGCTAGAACCAGAATGGCTTTTAAACAAGCAGATGCTACCTCCCAATATTTTCAGTGAACTGAAGACATGTTCCACTGCCATCCTTCCTGGATTTGAGGGATTTGGTTGGATGTGATGAACAGTTGGAAGAACACACACATGTAGAGCAGGATACGGGCCTGGTATGGATTTTGAAGCATCTGAACAGCAAGAATGCAGGATGTGGGAATACAAAGGCAGAAGGAGGAGTCAGAGGAGAGTAATGGGAATTGAGAGGAAGCATTTCGGTTTAGCTATTTTATTTATTTTAACTTCCAGGGATGGCACAAGATACAGCCTTCAGCAGATATCCTGTGTTGGCCTCTTGCTTCTGCCACTACAGACATTGAGTCTTCCATCAGAAGAGGGGACAAGCTGGACGTCTACAGAGTAAGGGGACACTGCATGCACCATCAGCCCTAGTGAAGTCATTAAAATTTCCACCATCAGGGTTTACACTGTATTTACCTTTCATCTGATGTCTTGGACATTCTTCTGGTAAGTGCTGGAGACCCTTTCTTGCTTTTTGCTATATACTTGTATTTTGGATTTTGCTTTATCCAGTTTCTTAGAGCTTGATAGGCTTCTTGTTGATGGCCAGTGTTGGTATAACTTACAGCCAGGGCCATCAGAGCTTTTAGGTTGTTTGGCTGTAGTTCCAAGCACCTAGGCAGAAAATAAAAATATATTGAGGTATTTTTTTTCACCAAACACATTTCTGGAACACTTTCAAAGTAATCTGTGTAAAAAAATTATCACACAAGTAAGATCTACCCAATAAAACTCTTAAAGAAGGGGCTTTGTCTTATTTCCCAGTGATAAGTGCATTATGCATGTGCCCATACACACATGTGCAAGCATGTTGCTGTGCATACACATGTGTATATAAACATGCATACAGGTTTTGTTTTCATCCTCCTGGTTATGAGTAAATGTAGCTAGATTCTTTTTTTATAGTATGTCTAGTAAACAAAGAAAAGCTTTATATAAATTCAAGTAAACAGTTTAATGTGTTTTGCAGCTATATGAAAAAAATATTTTGGAAACAAAATTTCTCCCATCCCTATGAATCTTCTCAGCCACCCTGAGTTCTGTTTTTCATTGATAAAACTGGAGCAAATCAACTTGAGTTCTCTTTTTACAGTGATAGACCATGAACTGAAAACAGAATCTGGTTTATTTTTATTTTATTTTTGAACATCACTCTTGCTTGTTGAAAACTGTGGCGATGAGCCATCAAGCAACCCCTTGGGTTTCTGTCCAGGTAAGTGTGTAAGTTCCATATGAATGAGTTAGAGCACCTGTAGGTGGTGGTCAGCCTTGCTAATGCAACTGGCTGTGGAGAGGAGTCTTGCCTCAAGTGGAAACATGAAAACCTGCTACATAAAAATGATAATTATACTGATATTTTGGAACTGACATTTTACATACAAGTAATCTTCACATCTCTAGCAACCTAAAAATGTTGTCAGTTTAGTATTCAGCAGCTAAAAGGAGCTCGTTGCAATTAAGAAAACCTCTTCATTAAAGGACAGACTACAGAAAGTACGCCAAATATCTGAAATATCAAAAAGGCATTTTATGTGCATTCTGCCTAACTCATGTTGGTGAGGCCATGTAACTTTTCTTTCATGCAAGTACTTAAGTCACTAGATTAAATATTGCACTTATCTAAAAAAACCAATTATTAATCACTAGTCATCCCTCTGAAATCGCTGGGAAGATTTCTATGTCTTTGTCAATTCTTTACTCAGTTAAATAAATGCTTCATGTTACAAGGTAAGTATTGTGTTAAATGTACCTAGGCCACCATTACCCAACACTCCTCAGACCCTTTATTTAGCAATTCTCTTCATCTACCTTTGGAGGGCGACAATGGCTGCCTGCTCATTTTCATTCTCTGCCTGTGTTATGCCCAGGAACTGCCAGGCCTGCAAAAATAATCATCATTGGATTATTTTGTTATAGATACTCAACTGCAAGCAGAGCTACAACTAATAGCACTGTTAAGCAGTAGAGTGAATAAAAATAGCAGATATGTCCATAAAGAGCTACATTTTTTTTTTCTACAGCATGCATACCAATAGCACAATTCAATGCAGTTTTCAATACCTGATTTCTTAAGTTTGAGTACTGTACAATTTAAATGCTGCTAGAATTTTATGGAAAACAATGAAGAATAATCAAGTTGTACAGGTTTAAGGGATTCTAGAGGATCTGGGGAGTCTCTCTGCTTTTCAAAATACTGCTGCTTAGTTTAATGTAGCAATAGATTCAGAGACCTAGATAATTACACTGTAAATATTTTTCATGTTTCATGTTTAAATATATACTCGTTGAAACCAGCAACATTGCAGCAATTAATACAACTTTTAAAAATTTGACAACATTCTTGTTAAATCAAAAATGTTCATCTTTTCAGTAACAAGGTTTAAAAGTTAGTTTGAAAACAGGAAAAGAAGGAAAGGTTTGAAATATTGTCTCTTTTGAATGCCGTTAAAGGATAACTTGGAAATGCTATGCTTTAAAAAACAGATTCTCAATTTCTGAAGAGCTCACCTTTATCTGTTCAAAGCATACACTACTCCAAAACTATTGTTACTGTTCAGTCTGTTTCAGTTGGTAATTAGGAGCAAAGGTTTGGGCCCTGAAATCATTCCATCATTCCATGCTAAAGGGAGTCCCCTTTCCCTCTACCAGTAGAAGGCACAGGAGTGCATACCTCTGCATCATTGGGCTCTTGGAGAATAGCAGCCTCCAGGTACAAGATTGTAACTGGCAGGTCACCTTCTTTCATTTTTTTCAGTCCTTCCTCAAAAGCACCAGGCCAGTCTTTGAAGGGATTCTCAGTATGGAAATAATAACCCTGGAGAAGGGAGATAATGGACCTGTAATGAAGCACTGTAGCAAGGAATGGCAACTCTGTAAAACGAAATGACTCACTGTTTTCCAACTGGATGTAAACATCCTTTGTGCTGTGAAAACAGTATGAGCTCCCTGTGAAATTTCAATGACAAAAAGTGTGAAAGAGCCATCATTGCTCGACATTCATGTTTCTGCTCTCTTTATTTTAGCTCTGAAGTTACACTTACTGGTGCTCATGTTGGGCCTTCCTGTTCCCCTCAAAGACAGCAGGAACACAGGTTGCACAGGAAGGACGCACTGCATCAAAAAACTTTGTTTTACCTTTTCAATGGTTGAGATGGTGACTTGCCCTGGTGCTTCCTGGCTCTCCGAAATCCAGTTTCTGCGAGCCATTTCTTCCCATTCTGCCTGCATTTTATCCCAAAACTCTGTGTCTGACTAGAAGAAAAAGGGGAAAAAAGGGAAGAAGAGTAACAACAAAACCTGAAATAAAATGGTAAGCCTTAATTCCCTTCTACCAGTAGTCTGAGTCTGGCAATTTTGCTGAACCAGTATTAATTCTATTAATAATCATACTGGCTGAAATACTACAACTCATATTTGGAATTCCATATAATTAAATTTCACCTCTTATTTTGGAATGTATTTTGTCAACAGAAAACTCTTTATCTCAGAGGCAGCGTATGTTCTGTTTGAAGCAGGATTTGCAGCAGCTTACATTGCATCTTATTGATCCTAACAGGAAAATTTTGCATAAAGTCTGAAGGAAATGAATGCTGCTGAAACAGTTTAAAAGAGAGCAAGCATCTTACTTTGGTATATTCAGCATAATTTAAAATTATGTAAAATAGTAATGGCAAAGCTTAGAGCATTTGTACAAGAGAATTAATACAACTGGGGCTTTTGGTCATAACACAGAAGACTTAATATTGTATCATATACTGTGCTGGTGAGAGGAGTCTATAAGGGATTATAAAATTGTACAGTAAGATTAACATTCAGCTCAAAGGTGAGAGGGAAAAATGCATATACAAGAGAAATCTCATTCTTGTTTCATCATTTCTGTTTAGGATGTGTAACGACCAGAATGAGGGACCCACTGTAGCTACTAGAAAATGATGCCAAGAAACAGAAATAGGATTAAAAAAAACAAAGGGGGGTAGGGGGGGGGTGGGGGGAGAATCCAAGTTAAGGTGCTATTTTTTCAGCCTCCACACATTAGTCATAAGCCCTGAAAAGCAGTTCCCTATATGCTCAGCACTACAAGCCACTGCAAAGTTCTTGAGTTCCTACAAGGTTACAGCCAGAACTTCAGTGAACTGACACTACTGAGGGCACAGTTTCTCATAATATGTCAAAGACAACAGCTCAAATAATTCTGTTGAGGTTTAGAAAGAACTATTTGAGTGAGGTGCTGACCAGAATTGACTGAGGGTATTAAAAAAATGGCCCAGATAGTTTGATCTGAATCTTCATGACAAGAATGACCACTTCACTACTGCTCCACAGCCAGGTGTGATTTGCAAAAACAGAGCTTAGTCTGTGATGGCACGACTGGCTACAGCTCTCCTCAGGTACTTGGAAAAAGGGAAGTACAGCCCATTACTGTATCTAGAATGAGTCAGCAATGAGGACATGTGAGTCTAGGTGTGAAGGATTAGGACTTGCGCCGGCTAACGGGAGGTGTTGGCTGCTGTAAACCTAAGGCTCTCTGCAAATGGCAAGGTGCATTCCCTCCCTGGAAATCTAACAGGCATTTCTCTTCGGCTCTCACTGTAGCATCTGCCTCCTGATATCCCACACTTCCTTCCAGGGGACTCAAAACTGTCTGAATCATGCAGTTGCTGGGTCTGTGAAGGTACCTGCTCTGTTCCTCTGTGGAAACGAATGTGAATCATTCGCTCCTGGAGAAGAGATTTCACTCTTTGTAATAGAAGCAAACACGACTTGACAACTCTATTACACAGCAACTTTTGAGGTTTCAAAATTTGCTTCCATTCCAAATTTGAAGGAAATACGGTCTCTCCAATAGCTGTGAGATTGTGCTGAAATGTCCATTTAGGGTTTGAAAAGGCCAGGCTAATGAATCAGATCATTTCCTCTTTTACTCTTATCAGCCATGACCAGAGGCACTTGAATCCCTTAAATGATCCTGTTCAACAGGCATCTCCATCAACTGCTTTGCATTCAGTGCAAATCTTCACTGCGATGAAGAATTACTTGACCATGTTTTTATTAGCAGTAATTTTGAGATTCGGCATGAGGTAAAGGAGTGGAAATTTCCTTTTCCTAGAAATTAATATTAACAAAACTATGGAAAAGTAATTAGTAATGCCTTTCTAAACAGATTAATTTATAGAACTATTTTTTTTAATATATATATATATGAGTTTGTATTATGAATCACTGGTTTGGAAACACGCCAGTTCACATTTCTGCAGATCGTAAGCAAGCATATAAGTGGTTTTATTTCTTAAGTTTAAATTCTGCCGCTTAATTATATTTTTATAATTCACACAGAAGCTCACAGCATGCATACTCCACTGAAAAAGCTAACGAATTACTATGCATTCAAGCAGCCACGTTTTAATGGCTATCTACAGCAAGTTAAAAGTGGAGGAAAAATGTAGCGAGGAGAAGACCTGCTTTGCTATAAAGTCTTTCAACTCATCATATCCTCCTTGGACACCAGCCAGGACCCAGCTGTTATTTTGCAACTATAAGCAAATATTTGCTTGCTTGGGCCAAATGGCTGAGAGTCCCAGCTACAGCTCTCCAAGCAGCAGCATGTGGGGTGTCTGCAACTGCTGTGGCAAAGCTGCGCTGAGCAGCCGGATCGTGCGCAGTTGTGGCACCTGATAAAATGCTGTAGTGTTGACACAGCAAGTAACGGTGTCAACGGCAGAGCAGTCTGATGTCTTTGAGGAAGAGGACGGTAAATATGACACAGTCTTTGTTAAAGGCCCAAGTCTATTTCAGCTGTCATTAACAGCAATTTTTTCATTGACTCCAGTGGCACGAGGGTTAAATTAATATTGAGTGTTTCTGAAAATCTGATCAAGTCTCTGAGATCTAATTTTAACTCTATTTGCTTTGTGACTGGTGCCAATTATCTCATTTCAATGTTTTTGCTACCTTAATCCTGGCAAATTACTTTGGACATATCAAAAGTTTTCAGACCAGCTGAACACATCTAACACGTTCTCTCAGATCATCTGCAGCAGTTCAGTGGAATGACAACCAGGAAAACTGTTCATACCATCTGACTACTTGCAAGCAGAATATTCTGTATTTTGTCAAAGAGGCTATTTTTACTCCTAGTATTTAAAAATATGCTGAAGCAGTCAAACAAGAGGCAAAATATTTTCAGGCTCTTTACTTCCTATGGTGCAGTGAAAGGGGGTGAGGGGTGTACTTTCTGAATATTGCTGGCTAATTTCTAAACTTACCTATTCTCACAACTTTTAGAGTAGAATTTTGTCTGTCCTGTACTACCAAAAATTAATTTTCAATGTTCCTTCTTGACCAATATATAAGAAAGAAAGGTTTTGTGGTTGTTCTTTCCTTGAATTACTGCATCAACATACTCTTCAATGTGAGAGACACAGTGAGTTGAACTTATGTGCTAGCTACGTAAGATCTCCTTAGCTGATATAATTTCAAAACCAAATCTAAAATATGCCTTTTTAGGAAAGTTTAGAGATATTATTTAGAGTAAAAATACACATCTAGGAAAAGATTCCCATTGTGATTTGAGAGCGTACCAAATAAAATGCACCTGAATGACTTGAGCTCCTAGATCCAAATTTACAATGTGGTTTAGGCACTTAGGCACATCCAAAAGGGATGTTGAAACAGTGAGACAGGAATATTGTCGGTACAGGATAGATTCTAACTGTTAACCAGAACCTGATGATTCTAAACGGTGTTTTTCTAGGCTACAACAAACAAACTCCATCTTCTTCTGACTGCTGTCACATAATTTAGCTGTAATATGTTCTGATGCTTCATAACAGCGTATTATACACCAGATGGCTCATGTGACATAATGTTGTAAATAAAATGATGTTGAGAAGGACAGCTCAAAATGTCTTTTGCATAAGCTCAAAAACTACTGTGGCATCTGAAGTTTAATCTCTACACCAGGAAAGTGTGGATTAAGAAAATACCAAAACTGCTTATTTTCCCACCTCTGAGACTTTTTTGTACTTTTTTGGTTTAGATTTTTTGTTTTTTCTAACCTGTGACAAATAGGATGGTGGATGATAAAACAATGGTTTTAGCAGGATGGATCTGAATCCCCATGCTGGCAATTAAAAAAAAAAAAAAAATTGAAAAAACACCGATATTTGGGACAACAAATTATTACTTATTATTGCAAATTATAACAATAAGTTACTAAAAATTATTGTTGTTATTAGAAAGATCACATTAAAAGATATTTGGTATGGCACTTGGAAATCATGACGACTTTAGGCTATTTGTTTTTCCCTCATGTATAGCAAAGGGATGAAGCAAAAATCAAACCCCATTTCCAGAATGACAAAAATGTAGCGAAGTCTGTAAGCACCCAATGCATCTGGAAAGAAAGCAAATGTATCTGGACCCTCTGCAGTAAAAAAACTAATTTACTTACATCTTTATTCTTAAAAGATTCCCCAATGGCATAGGCATCTTTAAACCTTCTTAAGAAAGAATTACCTCACAGATCTTCATTAATCTCAAAGTTTGACAACTTAAAACCATTCCCAAAGCTCTCAAGTGAACACTGGGTGGAGGATGAAGTTTGGTGTCTTCATTTACTGAATTGTTAATTAATTCCTTTCGAACTAGGCCACAAAGAACCTGAGATTTGCTTCCTTTTCTTGATCAGTTTTCTGGCTCATCTTACCACTTGGAGCTTTCCCACTTGAAGAATATTACTGAAACATTCAAAGCCTAAAAAATGAATTTTTGGACTGTATCTATTCTCCACTTAAAAAAGCACTAATCTTTCTGAGATGGGCTGCAATTTATTTCAATCAGTCTAGCTTTCTTACCACTTCATTTTAGCTAGGATGAAAATTCAATTCTTTTCAGATGCAAATGGCAATAACTGCTCTCCAAGGTCCTGAAGAATCACTTCCTTCACATTTTCTTAAACTACCTGGTCCAAGTTTCTATTTTAAGCAGAAAGAATAACTTAAGTCAGCCAGCTACACAGACAGGGAAGCATTTAATTAGACTCTTTTTAATAGCTGTTTTGAGACTACATTAAAGCATTTTAACAACTTTGTTGCTTTAGTATCACCTTTTAACGAGCAGGAGTTTTTTACAATATATTCACCTTCTTACTTTACTCTGTAAAGTAATTCAGTAATGCCTTGCAATCTGTTGTTGGACTCAACTCATTTTTCTTTCTGTTGAATGTCTGGGAACTCCCCATCACACAGGGATTCTGGCAGTTTCAAGGGTGCTGACATCATTTGCTTAACAACTAACCATAATGCAGAGATGTTCATCACCAGATTCCCTGTGTCACACTCACAGATTACAGCACCTGTCCCACTTTAAGGATCAGTCTGCAGTGCAATTAGGGACATCTAGAACATTTTAAGCAGTGGCGATTTGAAAGCAAGTCTCTACTTTCGTGCCAGGTGCAAATGTATATGACGTGTGACATCAATAAAATCTATCGTGTGTCACCAGCAGTGGTTTATAAAGAATCTATCTGATCAGGAAAAAATGCACTCAGAAAATACATGAAAAATGCATTTGGTCTATAGCTTATAAAACAGCTAACTTACTGATTGTTTCCATTGTGTGCCAAGAGAAGGATTTTTTTGTGTGCAGTAAGATCCTTAAGAAACCATGATAGAAACCATGCAGTCTTACCTTAGCATATCATGAAAAATCCCTACAAATCAAAGTAATTTCTTAAATTAAAAGTTCTATTTCTAGCTAGAAGTCAGCATATGACTTTTCTTGACCCACTTGCTATAGCAGTAAAAGTTGAGCTTGAAAAGCTGATTCTGTCTAATCTTCGTTTATAGCTAAGGTTTGTTTTTTTTTTTTTTTTTTTTCTGAGAGAAACTGCTATTTAAAATTAGTAACTCCAGGAAATGTAGCTTTTCTCTGCTTTAAATAATCAAGTTCCAACTTGCTCCTATACTTGTGCTGTAAGATGAGTAAGTAAATCTGTGGAACGTTAGCTGAAAATGAAAACAGTAAATGAAATAACACCTCAACAGCTGCCTTTGCTCTTTCAAATTCTTCCTCCAAGGAGTGATTTCTGGAGAGAAGAGGACCTCCCCAACGCTGCTCCTTAGCTGATCGTGCCTAAAACATAAAAGAATAAATCAGAAAGGGATGATATATTCTCTGCCGCATTTCCGAGTTATTTTCTTATTTGCCTAGAGCTCCAAATGAGCTTTTCCTTGGGCAAAACTAGTTGTGTCCCTGCATGAATTCCTCTGAATTCTTTTATACTGTAGCAGAGATCATTCCTTATGGTAAGCAAAGTAATTTATCTGTTTCTGGACTTATCTTTTCACTCAAGATGCGTGAAAGATAGAGACATCCGAGAAAAGCCAATGCAGATGTTGGGCTATAAAGGGAAGAGCTGCCTACGTTGTAGAAGACTTTTACCTTAATTTTTCCTTCTTCTGTATTATGACTGTGACAACACATTCCATTCACTATGCTCCAGGAAGAAATCATCTTATTTTCCCGGTACATTTTGTGTTTTTCTTTCAGGTTGTGCTTTGGGATCACATTGGAGAGCCAGGTTTCCTATGGATTTCACTAGAAGGACAAATCCTTTTTCTAATCAGCAGCTCTCTCTTCTGTGCTTTACTATCAGCCTATCCCATTGGAAATACATAATAAGTTTCTCCCTGTTCTTTTAATAAAACCTTTTTTCTTCCCCCCACAAAACCAAACAGCATTCAATGGTGACATAGAAAAGCACAAAGTGGCCTAATCTTGCTAAACAGAGCTCTGGCTGCTAATCCCTTCCCTTGTGTTAGTCAGAGGTTAAACTCATTAGCCATTTGCCTGATCATAGTCCCAACTGCATTAATTTACGTGTTTATATTTCTGATGACTGTACTTGTAATATTCAATTTCAATGAGTCATGGTGCTGAAAGACTAATTTTGCTCACTTCAGACTCATTGGGCTGTATCTGCAGGTGTTGGGACGTGCACTGCTGGGATGAAACATCCAATACATCCCGGGGTTTCATGTAAGTCATGTACAATGCGTGGCCAAACATGTACGTCTCTGTGTGTCACACGTGGGTTTTTACCAGGAAAGGTGACATTCATTAGTCAGTCTAGCCCTAGAGTTTCTGGTTTGCTTCTGAGTCTTTGGTCTGTCAGGTAGAGATTGATGCGTGAAGTGTCTGTTGGGCTGATGATACACACACGGTTAGGAAAGAATCATACATCACAGCTTCCGTGAGAAGCATATTTTTTGGGGGGGCATAGTGCGATTTCATCTGTGTTAGTTTCTGGTCTTTGCTCTACACTGAGCATCTATTGTTTCTGCTTTTTTGTCTGCTACCTCTGGTCCAAGTTGACTGGAAAATATTAATTTTTTTTTTTCTTTGGTGAGGCCAGGAAGAGATTTCAGGTTGTCACTGACAACCTAGCAAACCTCAATCCTCTACACAAACCGGTTATTTTACTGATTTATAGACTTTAAGGCAGAAGAGATAATTGGTTCAAATTATCCATTTGTCTGTATAACACATGATGGTATTTGTCACTTCACATCTGCAGTATGAAACTGATGTTCCACAGAGAATAAATTGAGATTGCCTGGAATATAAATCTTACATTTTACAGCCTTATCACTTGCTTTGCAAATTTGTTTAATTGCCCTCCTTGTTTATCTTATTAATTTTAATTTCAGTTTCTATCACTTCTTTTTCCAGTAGTTTAAAGCACTATTTACTACTCCTTTTATTATTTTCTCTGTGGAAAGGTAGTTATGACTTTAATCTTGTTTAGTTTGGTTTTTTTTAAATTATATAATGAGATAGAGATCTGAAATTATCTTAAATATGGGGCGGTTTATTCAGATTTCAACCTTTTTTCTTTCTTTTATTCTACCTCTGTTTCTTTATACCTTCATTTTTTTATAGCCATCCAGACAACTGAAGTGAACCCTATATTCCAGTACCTGTCTTATCATTTCTCTATACAGAAATGAGGTGATCTCCTACCTCTCACTAATTATGTCTGCTTCTGCACGCTCTTCTTGCCACAGCACTGCACAGGGAGCACTCACATTGACATCCTTGTACACTCTGAGCCATAGATTTTTTTTTCAAAATGCCTTCCAGCATAGTGTTATAAGTAGAGCTTGCATTCTTGTTCTGAAATGCATGTTTTTTCAAGTGACTGTATTGGAATATGTATTTATACAAATATCTTGGTCACCAGGTCATTTTTATAATCACTTATTAACATTTTTTTCATTCCCATGTTGCATCACATGCACATTTTATCAGGAATGGCTTTCATATTTATTGTCAGATCAATAATATTGATGATCATGTTTTCTCTTTGGAATAGCAGAAGAACCTTGTGATTACAATCCCTAGGTAAAAACTACTGTTTTTGGGATCTTAGGTTACAGTTTTAATCTGTTTAACAGCTGCTTTACTCATACTGTGTGGTGCCAATTCTAAAATCAGAATATGGTTCGTTAATTCAAACATCTCACAGAATATCACACAGCAACATTTATCATCCTGACTTGTAATCCCATCAAAGAATTAAATGTGGTTTTCTTGACACAAAACTCTGTTGATAGACATAAATTATGTTCCAGCCTTTTCATTATTTATAAGCTGGTTCTTGCAAACTGTTTGATTACTTCCGCTTTTTAATTTTTTATTTCCAGTGACTGCAATTTCCTTAGGTCAAGGACAATACTGTAAATCATGATGTTCAGACTGAGTAGTGCTGCAGAAGGGGAGAGTGAGCTTGTTGGGGCAGTCGAAAGGTGAGGGGGAAGAAGACAAGAAGGACAGAAGTCTCCTCCTCTGCCACATGTCAGAGCATACACATTGTCCCCACATAATCCCCACAGAAATGTGCTTTCTCCCCCATTAAATGCACAGCCAGAGGGAAAAAAAGAAGCAATTAACAAAGCCCACACAAGCTGCATTTGCACACAGACAACGCAGAGTCATAGTCTGAGTTGTGATGCTCAGAAATGAAAGACCCCACAGAGAACAAACCTGCTGTCTTTTGCTAGTGTGACAAGAGAGGGGATGGGAATGGAGTGGCAGCACTGGAGAACGTCACCTCCCCAGCTGGTGAGAGGGTGGGACTCTGCAGCTACCTGCCTTCAGGGGAGCCCAAGGTGTGGTAAAGGGCAGGGTGGAGTGTCTGAGGCACAGACACGGTGTATGCTGTGGTCTGATACGCTCACCACTCTACAGTGGAGGTGCTGCAGCTGATCACTGGCTGCTTTCTTCAGGGACAAAATCTTCCATTCCAATGCATTTGCACACACTTCCCTGTGCTTGTACTTTGCTTATGTGCTGTTGGACCTGAACTGTTGGTGAGAGGTTTAAATTATAGTCTTAACTTTAGAGCAGGTCTTCAAATAATGAGCTAAATTTGTGCCTCGTAGCTCTTCATTTCAGCTATTTGGGAGAAGTGGGGAATAAATTTTGCATTCTAAATATCATTGCCACAAAAAGCAGATTTCTAAGGTTTACAGGCTCCATGCTATATCTTTGTTTGAAAGTGACATATTTAAAGTAGGTACTGTTTTTTAGTATGTCAGGGGTTTTGCGTATGCATTCTGGGTGAGCAACAAAATATCTAAAATGCTCAGGGAGGCATTTAGAGAGTTAAAACACTAACAGACTTCATGTTTACACATTTGAACATATTATCTCCCTCTGCAGTTGGTAAATACAAGAGAAAAAAAAAACAACTTCAAAAAACCCCCAACACTGTGGGATATCTCAGTACTAATAAAAGTGTAACAAGGAACTTTCCAGAATGGCAGATAAAAGAAAGAGCAAAGATACTTTGGGCCAATGTAGTGTAAGAGTTATTAATAGGGAATGCATGATGTGAGTAAAACAGGGAGAGGCAGGATGGCCACATCCAGTGACAGCTGCCATGCTATTGCCCATTCCAGCCTTCAAACACTTTTCTTCTTTATCCATTCAAAGTTTGCCCTTGTGATTTTGTATTGGTATAAGTGCTGGTAAACACAGAATTTTGCTAAGAAGATTGCTTATTTTTAATGAAAATACGACCTAGTTAGTATTTCAGTTTGAGGACTAAATCTAACATGTCAAAGATGAACGACGAAGGTGATTGTCTCAGAAACTGCTGATGGATAACTGCAGCAAGTTTGACAAGAGGAAATCTTTAGGGTATGGCAGAATCTGTTGCATATGCAAAGGTTACCCTTAAACGAGATAGACCAGATCTATAGAGGACAAAGTATGGAAAACATATGCTTTGATAAAAGCTCTAACATGATTCCTTTTACAAGCAGATGGAGAACTTGGTCAAGACAGATGAGCCTGTTTGTTGGGAACTGACAGCTTTGACAGTACAAGTATAAACAGGATGAAGCAGGCAGTAGTGACTGAAAATACTCAGTTTCTAAATAAAACACCTGGAATAAGAACACAATCTCACTTCAAGTCATTTCTCTGCACTACTAATTACCAGTTTAATAACATTTCAGAACTTGAATGGATCACAAGTTTGAAAAAAGGCAAAAAGCAAAAAATTTATGATAAAAGAAAGCAAAACATGAACTGTAGCAAAACAAGAGAAAGGAATTTTATACTTTGCTTCCTTTTCAAGTTGGCTGGTTCAGCTTCACTTTCCTAAAATTTTGAAATACCACTCACTTTACAGTCTAGTTTGGAGCCTCAAATGATTTAGCTTATACTGAATTAAAAATGTAGATATTTGCTTCTGCAGTTATTCTAGTAGAAGATAAACAGGAAATAGGCCATATAGAGTAGAGGTTATATACTAAATTTGCAACTCTTTCTACAGAAAGCCACAACACTTAAATTCTGTGATTCTACTTGATTTATACACGTCTCAGCTGACCACAAACTTCCTGGCATTTAGATCTATTAGGCTGAGGAACAGCCTCCTAAAAAGGGGTTAGGGATAATTAAAGATAAGCTGGACAAAGCATGTGAAAAACACATTGTCCATCTCAGGCGGATGATATTATTCAATAGACCTTTTCCATTACTAAGATGCACAAATCTGTTGTACAGAAAAGAAAGATATCAGGCACTACAACTAGTGTTAGGCTTTCCAAAGAGAAAACTAAACAAACAAAACCCCTTTGTAATTGAGTGATGGCAGGGAAGTAAAGGAGACTTTTTTTCCCTAACCAAAACACAGGAATGGATCCTGATAACTGGATTCTATTTCTGTTTTCTGCAAACTGGTGCATAATCCCAGGAAAGGCATTTGTCATTTTACTGTCTCATTTTCCCATTTTCAAATGGGACTATTACTTTCCATTAATTTCCATATTTTCCATCTGACAAAAAGTTTTGAGGTCCAGGCCTAAAAATAGCTGTGGAAGGGGGGAGAATGATTTTCAGCTACAAGTTAAACCACGAAACAACTCTCTCTTCCTCTCTGCCAGTGGAATTGGCTAAACTTGAAATCTTTCTGCTAAATAAGAAACGGGAAAGAAGGTGTATAAGCAACCTGATCTATGTGAATATAAAGATATGTTTGTGCACATATATGCATACGTACATATCTAAAACCATACAACTCTAAGTAATCACTTCCACACATTCCTGCCCAATATACAACATGACTGGAATTGGACAAATCTACAGACCTGCAGCTCAGAGTCCTGCATATTAGAGTTCCTTTTCCAGCAGAAAGCTGCTCTCCCACCAGTGGAGATAAACTGCTAATGAAAACAGTCTAATGATTCCTTCCTGTATTCCTTAGCCATTTCCAAATTCCAGGGACTCCTGGTTGACCAAGAGCCCTTGAGAACAGATATATCACAGGGATAGAGAACCACCAGAGGTCTGAACTTCAGAACCTGAGGAAGGGCAAGGAAGATGAGGCTGTAAATTGTAGTTTGAAGTCTTTGCCTCTGTACAGGAAGGTCACAGTTCACTGCACTGTGAAACTCTGAATGTTTGAGATGCTGACATAGTTATTTTCATAACATTAATTTGGAATCTGTGTGAAGATTCATCTGTATGAATCTTTAATGATAGTCCTTGAAAATATCCCTGAAGTAGTTCTTGCAGAATGTGAGCTGTTAGTCAGTGGGACAGTTCCTACTTGCTTTTTTATTGTTAATAAACCTACCAAGTGTTCTTACCTGTATTGCAGGTGCAAGTTCTAATTCTGATGTTGAATCAGAGTCCAAGGCACTCTTGACGTTAGTCAGCTCAGACTGTGACCTGTTTTCTGTGGACCTAGAAATAATGCATTTACATACTCATCACTGCACACTAAGACATGTGACCTCTGTCTTTCACGTTCATAAGCACACACTGATTAATTAGGTTAGTTCTTTTAACAGAATAGTTTAACTGGCAGTTACCAAAAGTGCCTGGACCAGTCTCAGTGTTTCACTCTTATGCTTTTCAGTTGCATACCGACAACAGTTAATACAACAGAACAGTCAGGCCTGATTCACCAGCAGAGCCCTGGGTATATGTTGACACGAAACTAGTATAATGGGACAAAGACTTGGCCTCTACCACTATGCTTCTCGCTCATAGCCAGGCAAAATGAGGTTAGGCAATGACACAAGACTGTACCTGCAGTCAGTGTCTTAAGAATCAAACACCAGATTACAGAACTTCACCTTGGCATATGTGCATTTTTGTCCCACAGTATCCTAATATTCTTTCTTCCTGGAAAATGAAACCCTGTAGACCAAAATCAAGCTAATGGAGCAAAACTTGTGTAAAGCTCTAAGTTAATGAAACACCCAGATAAAGGGCAGGTTAAGATACAGGATAAGCATCATTTGGTCAGAAAAGTGCTTCTGGTGTATGAAAATGCTAATTATGGTCATGCATAATGCAGTGTATGAGTGTTCCTTATATATCAGAAAGGCAGCAGAGTTAATCTACAGGAACTGTTCCCATAGGCAAAGTCCAATTCTTCCCTCATTTACATCTCTTGCAATTTTAGTTGAACTGCGTGAAAGATGTAGTACTTGGCTTGGATATTTTATCTTGCCTTGGATATTTTATCCTGCCTTCCAGTTACACACAGAAATTCTGCCCTCTTGGTAGTAAAACCAAAATACATTGGACATCCAGTGACTGTCAAATCACTGTCAAGTATCCTTCTTTTCTTATTTTACTCACATGTTTCTAGCTGGTTTTGGATCACTGCGTGCCTCTGTAGAATTCTCACCACCTCAAGCACCTGCTGCTTTTCCCATTAAAAAAAGCTGGCAAAATGTCCTTTTATAGCGTCCTTGCTTATGACACATTGCCCAAAATGTCTGCTTGAACACATTGAACGTAATCATAACAGATTTAATAATATGACTTGTCATCAAGTGAGCATTTCTGTGAGATAAGAAAATGGGCTGGAAATATTTTTGTAAGGAAAGTAAAGATTTGTACCATAATAGCTCTTTTGATGGAGCTCTAGATGATGATGATGATGTTCGCTCTGCAGAAGGGTGGACCTTGCTACTCCTGTCTCCATGATAATTGACATCATCCCATTTCTCTATCTGTGTCTGAATATCAACTAAAAAAATAAGAAAAGAAAATATGAATCTTTTAAAGAAACTGCTGCAGAAAATTCTACCTCCTGTTAAATGTAGGGTATAGAGAAAATGGTGCTACCAAAGACTATACTTTAGCTAAGGCCCAATATACAGAAACACTGTTCACCTTCCTGGGTGACATTCTGTGAAAGTATTGGGTATTCATAACATTTTCCTAAATCTGTTAACATTCATGGTCAGAATGTCAGTGGAGCTCTTCAATGAAAATCAGTGGTTTGTGTGTAATTTAGACCTGTTGATAAAATGATACAAAGTATTTGGTTGTTTGGGATATATTACCTAATTGTAATTCAATTATAAAAATAGAATTTTTTAGTGACTACAATTTGAAATAACTGTGTAGGCAACAGATATTATTCAGTGATATGTTGGACTTACTTTGCAAAAGTCAGACATTCAGCTCCTGTTTGAAGATAAAGTCATTTAGAAGAATTTATGTACTGATGAAGGGAAAATTTGTTACCTTGGTATAAATTACATTTACCTTGCAAATTTCTCAGTTGCAGTGCAGGTAATTTAGTTTGGATGGAACTAAATTAAATTCACCTTTTCCAAAGCCCATCTATAGTTCATACTTGGCAGGATATTGAGTTGTGTTTGGGATTTATTTTTTTCTTCATCTGTATAAATACAGTTCTTTGACAAGAATGGATTCAATGGATACTTTTTTTCTCTCTCTTATGCATAGATAAAGCAGTATTTACAAATATAAAGTGTATTTCTGACATCTGCAGTTCCAAAAAGGACATTCAGCACGGGCTGCCTCTGATTTGTGTCCTTTACCAATTTCTTAGGATGCCCCTATAGATTTTTCTACCATTCTACTCACACTTACTAAATTCTTCTTTGGAAGAATCCTTTCAAAACTTTATTTGCACATTTAGTGACAATTTAATAGGTATAATGGCAAAGGCAAAATGTGTTTCCAGTGTTTCAAGTCATTTATAATGTGGAAACAAGGTTACACTCCCTGCTGAAATGCAGTGCGTCAAAGAATTCTGGTGTTGCTCATTATGTCGTGATAGTAGTAAGCAGAAACTTGTGCTAAGCAAGGCTATGTAGCACTGGTAGAATAGCTACACTCTTACCTAAATCTAGTGAAGACTTGTCTGAAACTCTGACATTCTGGACTTTCTGCTCAGTATCCACACTGATAAGGTCAGAATTGTCTGTCTTCTTTCTGTGGGTTGAAGCTTTTAAGCCTTCACTTCTGGATGGATTCTCTGATTTCTTTGCTTTGTTTTGAGTTTGTGAGACAGGTTCACTAAGATCCAAGAGATCCAGACCTGTTGATAATACTTAGACACAAAATGTTAGAATTAAGTATTGTTTTAATTCAAATAGCTCACTTCCAAAATTTTGTTCTAATTGGAAAAATAAAATTACTAATGTCTTTGCATTCAGTTAGATTAGATGTGCCTTTCTTGGCTAAAGATGGTGAGCAGTGTGTTCAAATATTCCTATGGATTTCAGGTGCTTCACTGGATGCAGCTTAAAAAAATTTTATTTGCATAAAAATCTTTTCCTCTGAAAATCTGAAATTCATCTTAGGTCTTAAGGCTGTGGCCTTACTCCACAAAAGAATTTTCAGGTTGTGAGGGTTCTCTGTACAACTCAGCTTTTAGATAAGATTTGGTATAATCTTGTGGTTTATCCAGTACTTGTAAGAGCTGTTTAGGGCACTGCTGTTGTGCCACATGCTGTTACAGAAAAAGCTGAAGATAGACAGCTTCTTGGGTGGACTTATTAGGTCACAAAGGAACAATGGTATGTTTATGAATGGCTTCTACTGTTTGTTTGCTGTCTTTTGGGAGATAAATATTGAATATAATTATAAATTCTACTGCTACTCCTATTAAGGACTATATTACTATAAAAGGAGTGTTCAGACTTGGTTCTTCATTTAAAAGCTGGTGAAAGGGTAACAACGTTTATAATTCTTTAGCATATAGAAGATAGAAAACCTCCCTCTTTATAATTGCTTTATAGGGCAGGTGTTTTTGACAGATCAGTTTGTAAGTACATTATCTGTGTTCTTGGTATATCACTGAATTTCATAAGAAAATTTTATTTTCTTATTAAATAAATCTAATTACCCCGACCCAAATCTGATAGCTATTCAAGGCAGATAAAGAATCTACAGATACTTACTTTGTTGCAACAAACACCACACTTAAACAACCTGAAATGTATCTATCCATCATTGTAATATCTGTAATTCTTATATAAAGGAAAAAATATTATTTACCATTGTTACTTAATGCAGAGTTCCAGTTTTTTTGTTATTAGAACTTGCATATTGCTTTACACACATATTAATTGGATGTCAAGATAATCACTCAAGTGCCACTTATTAATTTAACAATTTGTATGAATATAGATGTCCATTAAGTGGCTTCTAACTAGCCAAGTCATTGTATGAGATAGCAATAGAACATGGCAGTGCTGTGCTGATTTTATTATATCTCAGCTAATCTGCTCAACCTCTTTTGATTACCTTTGCACAAATACCAAATAGGAGGAGGCCAATTTGTAAAAACACTTCCAAAGTACAATACGTTTCACATACAATTCAATATAATTCAAAAAACTTTCAGGATTCACTCTTACTTTTTTTTTATTATCTGCTCCACTGTATCATTGTAAAACCAAGAAGCTAAGAAATGTCTTAGATCCTTTCACTAATAAAGTGTCTGAACTCAGCCTGGATAAATTTTTCTGTTAACTCTTCTCTTTTCTCCGACATCCCATCCAAGTTTTTATTACAGAAAATCTTTCTAGAGTAAGAAATGGGTTTGGCTAAAACCAGACTAAATGTGACTTTCTCAGAGGTTAAAAGTTTGCAAAAACAAGGATGGAGAATTTATCAAATTGATATGTACTTCCTCTTGAATTTAAATAAGTTCCCTTTAATTCAACCCCAGAGATCTGGTAGAATATACGTGATTCGGATCACATCAGATTTGCACTAAAATATAATGAACAAAGTTTTTCCTACTAAAATATCAGGCAACTATAATTTAATACCAGCTTGTAATTTTGTGCAAACAGTAACAAATCAAGAAATCACTTGACAAAAATATAAAATGATTAGGATAAGACTAAAATTATTTCTTTCTAGTGAGGGATAGCAAAGGATTCCATTTACCTGCAGTATTTGATGTTACAGGCCTTGCAACAGCTTCTGGCTTAGTTTCACAGAGAAAGTCATCGATGGAAGGGCTCAGAAGGGGTCTGCTTTCTTGTTGCTCATTCACCAGCTAGCAACAAAAAATCCCAGGGTCACAGAGTGTTGTTGGGATGCAGAATTTAAAGAAATAAAACATCTCACAATGCCATGTGCTCTATTTCTGATTGTGAGACACTAAGATATTGCAATTAGAAAATGTACAAATAGCTCGGGGCTTAAAATAAAAAAAAAAAAAAGCTTTTGGGGCAAAGTTATATTCCAGTTTTACAAATTGCACAAAAAATAAAGCAGCAAGGTGATCTTTTTCCATAGGAATTATTGCATTCTTTTGTTTATAGGGCTAAAGTATACAAGGCCTGATGGGGGAAACTGCCCATCCTCTATCACCAGGAGACCAAGCAGGGCTTTATTTAATATTTGGAAGTGGTTTTGGTTTTGGTTTTTTTTTGTTTTCACAAGTAACACGTGTGACCGCAGAACTTCCACAATATTATTTCATCTAGCAAAGATGCATTAGCCCATTAAAGAGTAACCTGCTGAGGCAGAAAACACTTCTCTGCAATACAAAGACATATGGATGACAGTGGATGGAGCCTGGCGAAAGTACGAACTTCCTGCACGAGTTTTGATGGTGTGAAGACTCCTAACACAGTTTTTATTTGTGTGCAGTTTTCCCTTTTTAATGTAATTGCATGAATGCTTTAGTTTTCTGCTACCTAAAAGAAATCTCTGTATTACAGGCTATTTCACATATTAAGGATTAAAAAGATGAAACAGCAAAACAGTCTCAGAAATAGAAGTCTCCTCTCTGCAATCTACCTCTGACTGGAGGATCAGGACCTATGCTGAGTTGGATGGATGTCTGATAGTGTGGCCTGTGTTTACTTTATCTTTAATAATGTGAAAACATGTTTTTCCACTGTCTGTTGTTTTCATCTGGTGCTATTTCAGCTCTACTTTTATCCTCTCTGCTCTCCGCTCCATTTTGTTCTCACTCTTTATCCACTGTTGTGTTTTCAAAATTTTCTCTCAGATATATTTCAACTTCTGAATTTAGGATGCTAATGAAGACTAAAACTGGCAAAAAAAGGTCATTCTCATTTTATATTTTTTATATTTGTTAATGACTGGCATTTAGCTACTCTGGTAGCAGGATTACCTCTAAATTTATTGTAGCAAAACAGCTTAGAATCACTATTGTTCAGTATTTGATTTCTGTATTACAAAGTTGCAAGAAAAGACTGGAGCTATTGAAATAAAAAGCCTATTATTCAGATGGATCAAACATTTAAGCTGGTACCTAACGCTGACTGAGTGCGTAATACATGTAGTTGTTCAGTTGTCCAGGACCTTACAGTTTTGCACTGAAACACCAGTTTGCATTCGTAACATGGAAGACACAAATCTGGCCATGATACTGTCCCAAACTCTAATTCCTCATAGGCCAAACACAGACTGGAGATTGCACCTTTCAGGTGACTTAATCATGTGGGTTTTTAATTCTCTGAACCGATTGTCCAGGTTGCTGTCTCATTCAATGCATAGAAGTTACTTGCACAGAAGCTACAAGAAGTTGTGCTTAGATGCATGAAGTTGGTAAATCTCAACATTTGATTGGAAATTGCATTTACACCAGCTGCATACCTCTGATTTTCATTAAAGGTGCCTCTATGGTACCCACATTATCTCCAGGTCTGTATTTTTACCTAATACTGATATTTAAGACGTAGGAGGATGTTATTTTTCTGTTTATGATTCGGTGACAATCCTTACTAATTTCTATGGGTAAAAAAATGAAAATGGATGCCTAGTTAATTGTTGCCCAAATTGCTTCTAATATTTTAAAAGTTTCTTTATGATTCTTTTAAACCAGATGTCAGCAAAAATTGCTTGAATACTTTTTTCTTATTTACATTTACACATCCCATTCTAGGAACTAGCATTAGTCGCAAAGGTACAGCAGCTTTTACAAGTTGGATATTTGGATGAACATGGTGTTGATCAGAATGATTGTCTAAGCCTCTGGATCAGCTGGATCTTAAAAGAGCTATCCCGTGATATACTAACAGCATAAAGAGAAGTCCTACACCATTTAAAGGGGGACAGAAGGCAAGAAAGAAGAGGTTCTGTAGGAATCACTGTAAATGTGAAAACTTCATAGGAAATATTCTGGTTTTGTATCTATAAAAATGTATTAGTAGGGTACATTATCACATTATCATTATCATAAGATCTGGGTGCTTAAAAATTTTCCAAATTTATTCTCTGGAAATTTGCTTTAATAGGAAAGAATGAGGGAAGGAGGGAATGAAGAAGGATTATGAGAATCAAGACAGCCAAAGATCACTCACTGGCAACAGTGAAGAATAGAAAATCTAAAGATCAACTGGAAAGGCAATTTAGTGCCCAAACTTGCTGCAAGGGTAAGAGGATAAACTCTGGGAAGACCAGCAATAATGCTAAGAATCAGAGTTACGGAGCGAAAGGAGACTAGAATCCACAAAGATCTGAATTTCTCTCAGGCTCAGCTGATGTTTGAAGTATCATATGTCTGGCAAACATCTTTTCTCTTCAAAGTTGCTTATCTCCATCCCTAGAAACTCCTCTAATACGTTGTTTGATACCAGCAGTGTATTTTTCAAAGTCCCTTAATAAAATTCTACCACCAAACTGAAAGGAGATTAGTCGTAATATCCACTTCATCAATTTTGCCAGCAAACACAAAGATTTAATTTTTATGAAGTTGTGTCTTCTTTCTACTTCATTAAAAGCATTTTTGTTTAATTAGAAAACAAATAGTTTCTTATTTTCTGACTGTCTGTCTTTGTGAACTTATACACTGAATTCATCAGAGATGAGCCATGCAAATGGCTGGAGGAATAAACCCCACATTTTACAAGGAGACTAAGAGAGCTCGACTTGCTTAGGCTAGCAAAATGAAGACTGAGTGGGAATATAATTATTCTCCATGTATACATAAAGGGTGGTTAGATGACACTGGAGGAGGAAAGTTATTTCATCTATAGAGAAAGGCTGGCACAACAACAAAGAGATCTAAACAAGCCATGAATAGATATGGTCTGGGAATTAAAAGAATCCTTATAACCATCACAGCAGTGAAGTGCAGTACATTTTTTTAGGGTAGGGGTACAAAAAGCCTACCTATTTAAAATGTCTTTTGACAAGCTTTCTTCATGGCTGTTTGTGCTGTGATTACTTTTCAGAAGTGGACTGTGGCCCTGAGGATCCCTCTTAGTCCTACAGTCCCATGACTAAGAAGTGGAAGCTGTAAGAGTGTCTTATTAAAAGGATTGTTCCTGTGGAAATTAATCTGCTTTCAATTGAAATATTTATGTCAAAACAGATAGCAAGTACATGATCAAGTCCACTAATTCTCAATAAAAACAAACAATATACGTGAAGCAATAGTGCCCATTAGAAAAATAAGTTTTTGACGTGAAGCAGACATTTTATGATGAATGAAACTTTAACAGGTTGAAAAGTGCCATGAGCTGATATTTTTGCTGTAGGCAAGTGGGCAGTGGGGCAGGTTTCTGACATTACTGTGTATGTAATGCTACTTGGTAAGCCCTCCCTCGGTCTCACACTCTGAGTTTCATTTTGCTGCCTCATATATTGTACCAAATTTATCCCTAGTTTAAGTATGCTCAAGTTATTAGACTTATATCAGGCATGAATTTGGAGCAGCACTATAAAACATTCATGAGATGAAAACTATTATCTATATTAAAGTAATAATTTATGGTTCTCAAGCACCTTTCAGGGTGAAAATCGCAGAATGCTTTAAAACATTCATGAATCAAACCTGGCACCACTGCAGAGCTGGGAAGTATTATCTATCTGTGGCAGACAGGAGAAGCAGAGTGAAATTAAGAAAGCCACCCAACACCACCCGGCACTGGAGGCAGGAGCCAGGCGGCTGGGGCTGCACCGCTGCACAGGATTTATGTGAGCAATAGTTGTACATGTGCCAAGTGGTGTAGGCTCCGCCTGTGAAACTGTTGATTTCTGAGTACTAATTTAGTCAAGGAGTTCCATAAATTCTCATATTGTCTCTAAGAACTTCATTTTTCTTTATAAAATAATTTTAATTAAAGAAAAAAGCCCACACACTCCTTTAACTGAAGGGTATCTAAAATCTGTGGACGGTGATGTTCCCTACTACTAATACATCTGAATAGACATGCATAATATGAAATTCTCCTTCAAAATTCAAATTATTTTTCTATGACTGACTTCTGCACAGCACAATAGAAAAAGCTGCTTTTTCTCACCACAGTACTGCTATTGGAATTTTTTGATCCAAAAAGCACAGAAGTGGGGTTTTTTGGTGCTTTGGGAGAGATACAGGAAGAGTCAGAAGTGTCATCTGATGGCTGATATCAGCCCCACTACTTAAATATATTCAAAGCAAGAATCATTTAGCAGAGCTCTGAGACGGATCACAAAGGCCAGGACAGGCAGCACCTGTCCTGGAGACCATGTCTGCCTCAGTGCCTTCAGCCCAGGCCAGGCAGTCCTGCAGCCCAGAGCACCAAGAGAAATCACCTGGGCTCCATTTTCTGCACCCCGTCACTGCCCCTGCCCAGCTGTGTCCATGTCTTCAGCTGCCTTGGCTGCTGATTTTGCCTTCCCCCGTGCTCTGGTTTGGCTGGTGGTCTCCATGTTGCCCCAGAGCTGTTGTGAAAGGAGAAAGAGGAGGTGGCAGCAGCTCTCTGAGGTTTCTTCTCTTGGTGATTCTCAGGTCTGAAGAGTAAGTGTGGGCCCAAAGAATGGTGCTGGTGGGGGGTCAAAACCCCCCAGTCATGTGTGGGCCTGGGTGTGCTGGGGCAGGAGGGCAGACGTTGCTATGGGAGTGGCACAGCACTGGCCATCTGGAAGGCAGCAGTGGCCATGAGAGGTATTCTTCCTTCTAGCCTTGCTTTAGCTACCCCTGGTCACCCACCCAGCATCTCTTCCTCTGCCCTGTAGTGACCCCTAAATCCTCACAGGCCTGATTTTTCTCCCTTTGTCCCTGTAGAAGCGCCTTGCCTGGTAAAATACCTTCCT